GGACTGATCTTTACAGCTACAGAGCTTTCTGGCTCCTCCCCTGCTGATAGAGCACATTGCCTGGCTCCCTCCTTTGCCCCTGCCATTCCTTACCTTGGATCAGATCCGTGTGCACAAATTGGATTCCCCAAGTAGAGTATAAGCTCCCAGAGGGGAGAGACTATTTCCTTTTTTTGTTTGTTTGTTTGTTTGTTTCCAATTTATTTATTTTTAGTTTTGAACATTCACTTCTGCAAGATTTTGAGTTCCAAATTTTCTCCCCATTTCTCCCCTCCCCCACCCCATAATGGTGTGCATTCTGATTACCCCTTCCCCCAATCTGTCCTCCCTTCTATCACTGCCCCCTTCTCTTATCCCCTTCCTCTTTTATTTTCCTGTAGCATAAGATAGACTTCTATACCCCATTGCCTGTGTATCTTATTTCCCAGTTGCATGTAAAAACAATTAACATTCATTTTTAGAACTTTGAGTTCCAAATTCTCTCCCTTCTTCCCTCCCTACCCACCCTCATTGAGAAGGCAAGCAATTGGATATAAGCCATATGTGTGTAGTCACGCTAAACATAATAGTTATGTTGTGAAAGACTAACTACATTTCCTTTCATCCTATCCCACCCCGTTTATTCCATTCTGTCCTTTGATTCTGCCCCTCCTCAAAAGTGTCTGCTTCTGATTACCCCCTCCCCGAATCTGCCCTCCCTATCACCTCTCCGTCTCTTATTCCCTTACCCCCTACTTTCCTGTAGGGTAAGATAGATTTCCATACCCAATTGAGGGTGCATGTTATTCCCTCCTTAAGCCAAATCTGATGAGAGTAAAGTTCACTGGTTCCTTCTCACCTTCCCCCATTTCCCCTCCACTATAAAAGCTTTTTCTTGTCTCTTCTATATGAGATGATTTACCCCGTTCTACCTCTCCCTTTCTCCTTCTCCCAGTACATTCCTCTCTCACCACTTAATTTTATTTTTTAATTTTTTAGATATCATCCCTTAACATTCAACTCAGCCTGTGTCCTCTCTCTCTATATATATCTATATCTATATCTATATCTATAGATATAATCTCCAACAACCCTAATAATGAGAAAGGTCTAATGAGTTACAAATATCATCTTTCCATGTAGGAATGTAAACAGTTCAACTTTAATCCCTTAGAATTTCTCTTTCCTCTTTATCTTAACCTCATAGATTATACTCAGTTTTGCTGGGTAGGTGATTTTTGGTTTTAATTCTAGCTCCTTTGACCTCTAGAATATCATATTCCAAGTCCCTTAATGTAGAAACTGCTAAATCTTGTGTTATTCTGAATGTGTTTCCACAATATTTGAATTGTCTCTTTCTGGCTGCTTGCAATATTTTCTCCTTGACCTGGGAACTCTGGAGTTTGACTATAATATTCCTGGGAGTTTTCCTTTTGGGATCTCTTTTAGGAGGTGATTGGTGGATTCTTTCAATTTCTATTTTATCCTCTGGTTCTAGAATATCAGGGCATTTTTCCTTGATAATTTCTTAAAAGATGAGGTCTAGGATCCTTTTTGATCATGGCTTTCAGATAGTCCAATAATTTTAAAATCATCTCTCCTGGGTCTATTTTCCAGGTCAGTTATTTTTCCAATGAGATATTTCATACTGTCTTTTATTTTTTCACTCTTTTGGCTTTGTTTTATAATTTCTTGATTTCTCATAGAATCATTAGCTTCCATTTGCTCCATTCTAAGTTTTTTTTTTGGCTAGGCAATGGGGTTAAGTGACTTGCCCAGGGTCACACAGCTAGAAAGTGACAAGTGTCTGAGGCTGGATTTGAACTCAGGTCCTCTTGACTTTAGGGATGGCGCTGTATTCATCGCACCACCTAGCTGCCCCTCCATTCTAATTTTTAAAGAATTATTTTTTTCAGTGAGCTTTTAGGCTTCCTTTTCCATTTGGCCAATTCTGCTTTTTAAGGCATTCTTCTCCTTATTGGCTTTTTGGATCTCTTTCAACATTTGGTCTAGTCTGTTTTTTAAGGTGTTATTTTCTTCAGTATTTTTTAGGTCTCCTTTAGCAAGCTGTTGACTCATTTTTCATGATTTTTTTTTTGTATCACTCTCATTTCTCTTCCCAATTTTTCCCCTACTTCTCTTACTTGCTTTTCAAAATCCTTTTTGAGTTCTTCCATGGCCTAAGACCAATTCATATTTTTCTTGGAGGCTTTGGATGTAGGAGCTTTGACTTTGATGTCTTCTTCTGATTGTATGTTTTGATCTTCCTTGTCACCAAAGTAAGATTCTATAGTCTGATTTTTTTTCCCTGCTGTTTCCTCATCTTCCCAGCCAGTCACTTGATTTTTTAACTCTTCGTTAAGGTAAGGTTCTGCTTCCAGGGTGGAGGGGGCACTGTCCCAAGCTTCAGGGGTTTTATGCAGCTGTTTTCAGAGATACTTCTAGGGACTGTAAGTTTTCAGTTCTTCCAAGATGCTGTGATCTAAGGAGAGGTGTGTACTACTCTCCTGGCCTGTGCTCTGTGAGTGATCACAAGCACTCTTTTCTGCCCTGGAACTCTGAGGAGGGTTCCATCTCCACTGTTGCCACAAGCTCTGCTGAGAGCTCTGGAAGCAGCCGCTGCAGCAGCCACCGCCACTGCCACCACCCTCAGGCTGCGCTGGGGCAGGGCTAGACTGTGCTCCTCTCTCACCCAGCTCCAAAAGAACTTTCCCATTGACCTTCTAAGTTGTCTTTGGTGTTTCTGGGCTGAGAAGTCTGGAAATCACCACAGCTGCCCATGATTCAGTCCCTTGAGGCTTGCTTGGGGCTGCTGGGGCCTAGACTGTGCCTGCCGGGCCCACACTGTCCTTTGCTCCTCTCCCAGCCTAACACAACAGATCTTTCCCATCAACTCTCCAGGTTGTCTTGGGCTGGAAATTTTTTCACTCTGTCTTTTTGCGGATTCTGCTGCTCTAGAATTTGTTTAGAGTCATGCCTTACAGGTATTTAGAGGGGTTTCAGAGAGCTGAGTCCCTGCTTTTACTCCGCCATCTTGGCTCCTTTCTGTATCTCCTATTGATGGGCAGATGTGGATGGCTTGTGAGCTGTATCATTTGAGGAAATCCCCACACAGTTATGGTCACCAGTCCACTTGTGTGAAGTATGTGGTCCTTGCTAGGGAGTTCAAGCCTTTCTGATGAATTGAAATGAAATCCTTTTTTATTATTACTTAATGTTTTCCCGGCTTCCCAGGCCTAGTGTAATGGATAAGATGCAAACTGAAGAGTTGGGGAGTCTTGGGTTCAGGTCCTGCCTCTGACCCATTACCAGCTAAGTAACCCTTGGCAAGTCACTTTCTCAATGACCCAGGTCACTCTCCAAGAGTAGAAGGCACAGATGACTTAAGATCAGGATTGAGGGGAGAGAGTTTCCACAGGGAAAGCCTCTCACAGATGAATTAATCACATTGTTTAATTACACACTGTCCAGTTCAGGAAAAAAAGAAAAAGAAAAAAGCTTTACAATTCATGCCCAATGTGCAGAACTAGATGGCTAACCCATAAGGCCTTCAGGGCCCACCTAGATAGAGTTGGCCATGGTGTGGCTGCTTGTCAGGTGTCATAAGTGAGTCTAATTACATGTAATGAGTAATGGGTAATAAGCCTGCCTTTGCAGGCGGGTGTGTGTGTGTGTGTGTGTGTGTGTGTGTGTGTGTGTGAGACAGACAGACAGACAGACAGAGACAGAGAAAGAGAGAGAGGTGACAGACATAGAAAGAGAGAAAGACAGGAAAGAGAAACAGAGAGACAGAGACAGAGAGATAAAGAGACAGAGAGACGAGGGGGGAGAGACAGAGAGAGAAACAGAAGGGGAGAGAAAAACAGAGAGAGAGAGAAAGGGAGAGAGGCAGAGAGACAAAGAGACAGAGAGAGACACTAGAGAGACAGACAAAGAGAGAGAGAAAGACAGGAGACAGAAACAGACACAGAGAGGCGGGAGAGAGAGAAAGGGAGAGAGACAAAGAGAGAAAGACAAAGAGTGAGAGAGAAGCGAGAAGAGAGAAACAGGAGAAACAGAAAAAGGGAGAGACAAAGAGACAGAGACAGACAGAGAGAGAGAAAGAGAAAGAGAGAGCGAGAGAGAGAGTCCCCTCCTGCCTCGATTTTCCATCAGGGTAGAGCTTAGACAACAGTAATAGACGCTCTCCCGGTTCCATGCCGCTTTTCCCAACATCCTCCCTCCCAAAGTCCTGTCCTGGAGGGCACGGTCTGCTCTTCACCCCAGCAGGCTCCCAGACCCAGACCCGTCCATGCTCGGAGGCTGATGGACTGATGGGGGGGGGGAGGGGGGGGGGATGGCTCTTGACTGACTTTGGCCATGAACCCGCTCCCCCCTGGGTGGGGGGAGTGCTGGAGGAGGGGCTTCTCAAGCTTGGCTCTCTCCATCCCTAGGACTCAGGACCCAAATCTGCAGTAGATGCAGAGGCAGCAGGTGGGACTGGCAGGGACCCTGGACCCTGCCCAGGAGGGGACCCTCTCCAATGGCCTCCGGGGACATCCGCCCAAGCCCTATTTGTCAGATGAGGAAACTGAGTCTGCCCTGCACCAGCTGCCTCCCAAGATCCCAGGGGCAGGAACTGAGCAAGGCCTTGGCGGGAATTGCTAGAACTTGACCCTGGGCCCCACGCAGCCCCGCATTGGCAGAAGCACGGGGAGAGGGAGGGGCGGTAAAGTGAGAATCCCGTGACCTTGGAGCCTGAGGCTCCGCCCTCACGCCCAGCTTGGGGCGGGGCTCCGTGCCAGGGGCGGGGCTACGAATCCCGTCCTTTCGGAGAGGCCGAGGTCCCCCGACCGTTGGAATGGGTGCAGTGAATCAACAAATTTAAAAGGACCAATGAGCCTCCACTTGTCGCCAAGGGAGGGCGGGACATCCACCGGCGCTGCCCAATGGAGTCACACGGCTCTACGGAGGAGGCGGGGAGCGGAGTCTCCGCCAATGAGAGCAGCGGATGGGGAAGATGAGCGGGTCGGTTTCGCCCCATGGTGGCTGGTGGGGCGGGGCCGAGCTTTCAGACCCGGCTCCCGAGGCGGCGGCGGCGCCCTCGGCCTGGCATGGCGGGCACGGTTGGCAGGCAGCGGGAGGGGCAGCGCCGGCGGCTCCTCGAGAAGCTGCAGGCCAGCAACCGGCGCTTCGCCAGCGTCATGGGGACCCTGGTGGCCAAGGTGAGGCCCCGCGGAGCCCCCCCACCCCCCGAGGGTGCCCTGCCCCCGTGACCTCCACGAGTACCCCCGGTGCTCCCCTGTAGATGCTCTGCTCCGTGACCCCCACCCGTGAGGGCCCTGTCCCCGTGGGACCCCCATGAACCTACCCCCCGTGCCTTGTGGGTGTCCCGCCCCGGTGGGACCCCATGACCCCCCTACGATACCCTCATGGGCCCTGCTCCGTGCCCCCCGTGGGTGCCACCTCCCCGGCGGCACCCCTGTCTACTCCATGTACTGCCCCTGTGGGTGCTACCTTCCCAGGGGATGCCTGGATCCCGTGTGTCTCACCCCAGCTCCCTAGTGGGTGACTGTCTCCCATTGCTTACCCCCCATGACTGTCCAGTGATGTCGTTCCCCACCCAATTCCTTCTCTCTTGGGTGCCTTCCTCATGACCCCCCCAGCTCCCCTGGGAGTGGTCCTCCCCCATGATCTCCCGTCCCCTATGCACCGCTCCCTGTAAGTGCTCCCTCAGGCACCCCCTGTTGACCTCTCTGCCCTGGGTGCCCCCTTCTCCGTGCTCCCCTTTTTCCCTCCGCCTGTTGAGCCTCCTCTGCACCTCCCACCCCCACCTCTGTGCTGAATTCCCTGATTAATTCCCTCTCCTGCTCTCTCCTCTCTCCTCTCTCCCCTCCCCCAGCATGTTGTTCCCCTGTCAGCACCAGGGGTCCTGCTCTCCCTCATTAGATCCTGGCACCCAGAACGTTAGTCCACAAACCCTGATTAAGCCCCTGCCCCTGTTGGAGCACTGGGTGCCAGAGATTCAGAGATGACCTCAAGAAGCTTCCATTCTGTGTGTGGAAACAACCTGTAAACATTGGAGTAGATGCAAAACCTGTTCATAGTGAAAACTATGGTAATGGGGATTGAGAAGGGAGGTGACCTTTGAGCCAAAAGAAACTTGGGCTGTGAGGACCTAGTGCATTCCAGGACTGGGTACACAGCTTGGGCAAAGGTGTGGAGACTAGAGATGGGATGTGATGAGGCCAATTGAAATGGATGGTAATGAGTGTTGGGAGTCATGTGTAGCCAGACAGTGAACTCCAGGTGGGTCAGTGGGAGCCCCTGGGCCTTCGGTGAAATGTGTGTGTGGCCTTAACCCCGTAGGCCAGGTCATGTCTTCACTCCTGGATCTGAGAGTATCTAAAAACATCTTTGTCTGTCCACAGTACGACCGTCCCTTTGAAGAAGACAAACTGGTGCATATTGCGACATTGACCTACGAGACCCCATCTGGTAAGTTCAGCCGTGTTTTCGTGCGGGTTTGATGGGTAAGATGAAGAAGTATTTCCTTTCCAAGGGAAGAAATTGTGTGTCCTGTAGGAGAATTGAAGTGTAACCTGGTGTGGTGGTAAAGCAGTTATCTTCAAAGCCCAAGTTTCTTTCAGCTCAAAGTTTACCCTCCAAGAGGAGACGACAAGCAAGCTCTGTGCCTGATAAATAGGAGATAATTAACCGAAGGAAGGCACTGGAGTTAAGGGAAGTGTGGGAAGAATTCCGTAGAAGGTGGGACTTGAAAGAAGCCAGAGAGGGAGGAGGAGAGAGCCTTCCAGACGTGGGGGACAGCCAGAGAGAATGCCAGGGTCACGGGCTGGGGAGTAAAGTGTGGGAAGACTGGAAAGGTAGGAAGGGCTTAGAATGGAGGCCAGAAGAAGCCCCTGGGAGCCTTTTGCTAATCACTGGAGTTACAAGGAGAAGAGTCAGATGGTCCCACGTTAACAGGGAGACGCCACATAGAGAGGGATTCAGCTGCAAGCCCAAAGGGAAAGTCCCCTGCTCCTTAGGGGGCAACAGCAAAGCGCGTTTAGGGTCAGGCTTTGTCTACAATGTCTTTTCCACTGATAAAGTGGTAATCAGTGTTTGATGTTGAACCATTTATTTGGCAGTGCCAGGGACTTTCTCTTCTGGATCTTCATTAATAAGATGAGGAAAAAGAAATTAAAGGAATAAGCAAATGGGAAACAAATTGACCTCATTTTTCTAGGTGACATGGTCTTTTGTAAAGAACCCTAAAGATTCAACTAAAGATTATTTGAAACAATAACTTCAGCAAAGTAGGAGGGTGTAAAATCCACATGAATCACCAGCTGTTCTTTATGTTGCTAACAAAATCCAGCAGGCGGAGATTTAAAAATAGCCACAGAATGTATAAAGTATTTGGCAGTCTACCTACCCCCACAGGAACTATAAACGTGGTAATAAAACATTCTGTACAAAAATAGACATAAATTATTGGAGAATATTAATTGTTCATGGTTAGGCTGTGCCAATATAATAAAAATGACATTAGAACCTAAGTTTATTTATTTGATACTATACCAACCAAACTATCAGAGGATTACTTTATATAGCAAAAATAATAACAAAATATATCTGGAGAAAAAATAGGCCAAGAGTCTCAAGGGATATAATTTTTAAAGGTAGGAGGGAAGGAGGCTGAGCAATAATAGATTTCAAACTGCAGTAATTATCAAAATTGTTTGGTACTGGTTTTAAAAAAAAGTCACCTGTGGAACAGATTTTTTATACAGCATACTACAGCAAATAAATATAAAAGCCTACTGTTGGATAAGCTTTCTGACAAAAACTTCTGGGAAAACTGGAAAGCAGTCCCACAGAAATTAGGTTTAGACCAAGAGTTCTGAACCTAGGCGTACAGATCCCTTGCAGTTCTTGGATAGATTTGAGGGAGGGAGGTCCATGAACTTGGATGGGAAAATAGTATGCTTTGATCTGCATTCATCCTCCATCAGTTCTTTCTCTGGATGTACGTAGCATTTTCCATCATGAGTCTTTGGATCATTGTATTGCTGAGAAGAGCAAAGTCAATCATAGTTGATCATTGCATAATGTTGCTGTTACTGTGCTCAGTGTTTTCTTGGTTCTGTTCATTTCACTTTGCATCAGCTCATACAAATCTTTCCAGAAATTTGCCTGCTCATCATTTCTTATAGCACAATAGTATTCCATTACATTCATATACCACAACTTGTTTAGCCATTCCCCAATGGATGGGCATCCCCTCAGTTTCCAATTCTCGGCCACCACAAAAAGTCTGCTCTTTCTTTTGTGAGACCTCCCTGGATTTACTAGCATTCCTAAACAGATTCAGGTTGTGTGCAAAGACAAGGTGAAAATGAATTAAGTATTTAAGTTGTGTTATTTATATGCTAACTTTTTTTTCTTCTCCAAGGGCTAAGAGTATGGGGTGGTGGAAGAATCATAACCCAAGAAATCTTCCAGAATATCCAGGTACTCATTTAAAGCAGAGTTCACAAGCAAAATGCCTTCTTCTTAAGAAACAGCACTGTGACATGCATGCTAATGTATGTTAAGTGTGAGCGTTTGCACCTGTCATAATCAGCAAGTAATCTCTACAAGTCATTTACGCAATGGGAAGAGTGCTGTGCATTTGGAAGCAGTCTTAACCTGCCTTTTTTATTTTTGAGCTTTTTCAGGAACCATGTCCTTGCAGGGACATTAAATAGAGCTCTAGATCCGGAGTCAGGAAGACCTGAGGTCACATCTGGCCTCAGACTCCTATTAGCTGTGTGACCCTGGGCAAGTCACTGAAACTCTCTGAGCCTCCTCCACGAAATGCGATGGCAGCACCAGCAGCGCCTGCCTCCCTCCCGGGGTGGTTGTGAGGGTCAAACGAAACGATGTTTGTCACTTGCTTTGCAAGCCTTAAAGCAGCGTATAAATGAAAACTGTTCTCCTCCTCCCTTTTGCAGTGCAAAAAGGCCTTGGTTCCCACCCTGACTGCCACTCACTTCTTGTATACAGCCTGTCTTTCCTCATCTTTACAACACTTGAGCTAAACTAGTTACCTCCAAGGCCCCTCCCAGCCCACAAATCCCAGGATGCTCCAGGGGGCCAAGCCAAGATCTAAGAGCATCAGAACCAGTTTCTTGGTTCTTTAGATGGGTAAACTAAGGCCAGAGTTGTACATGGTCACACAGCTTCTAGTGGGGGGCAGGGCATTGTGCAGAACTTGACCCTTTGACTCCTGAATGACCTGTGTTCTGTTGCTCTTCCTACTGTGCCATCCTACCAAACCTGAAATTAAGCCTTTGCACAAATGTGCTCCCCAGGTGGCCTTGATGGCCCAGGACGGCTCAGTGCACAGGCTGGTGTCTGCTCTGGGCCTCCCCGTCTGTCATGAGAGCTTAGCATGTACCTGCCCCGTGCCCAGCACAGCCTCCTCTACAGAAACAAGGATTACATGCTGTCCAATAAGATGACATTTCTTGGAAATAGCATCTTCTAGTAGCCGGGCCCTGTGCCAAGCACAGGGACACAAAGAAAGGCCCCTGCCTGCAAAGAGCTTCTAGTCTATCGAAGGACACATATAAATACCTGGGCACAGGAAATAGCAATAGAGTGTAAATGGAAGCTAGTTTCAGAGGGAAGGCCCGAGCAGCTGGGGATGCCAAAGGTGGAATTCAAACTGAGTCTTAGGGCCCAAAAAACCATGAGGGAGAGAGCCTTCCAGATACTGGGTACTGGCCTTGCCAGCACCTCAGGTCTCAAGATGGAGGGGAGGATCCCAAAGGAGGCCAGTGGTTCCCCTTTGCCCACTGTCTAGAAGACAGTCAAGTGTGAGAAGACAGGAAGATCAGAGGGGCAGCGATGGAGGGCTTTCGACCCAGACTTTCTGTTTGGTCCTAGAGGTCACAGGGAGCCACTGGAGTTATTGAGGAGGGGAGAGACGTGTCAGAGCTGCCCTTTGGCCACTGACCGGCTGGCCGACTGGGGTGGGAGGAGCCCTGGTGCTAGTGTGGCTGTCTGGGGAGACCAGGAGACTTCCTGCCCCAGGAAGGGGCACAAGGCTTGGCAGCAGATCGGGTCTGTGGGGACCTGACAGGGATGGCGCCAAGGTTGGGAGCCTGGGCACCATCAGTATGAGAAGATGGGACAGGGGAGGGTTTGGGTGCAGGTTAAAGCTAAGTTTAAGCTACCAAAGCTTAAGACTGCTCAGAGACTTGAGAGACACTTGGGATGGGGGGTGGGGGGCAGAGATATTGCCAATCATCCGCCTGGAGATGGTGATTGAGCCCCTGGGAGTGGATGAGCCTGCAAGGCCAGAGAGTGTCCAAGGAGGAGGTCTCAGTGCAGAGCAGCTAATAAATAGCCGTAAGGCACATTCTAACTGGATTCCTCTCAGCTCTTCTGTGGCCTGTGGGCTCATTGACAGAGGAGGTTATTGGGGACATGCCCAAAGTCACCCAGCTCCTCTTGGCTCTGAACCTGTTGTCCCAGATTTCTAGCTTGATAGAAACCTGTCCATTTCTCCAAGCTGACACCCATGGAGTGAGACTTCCCTTCTCCCCCACACCTTGACCCTGTTGGGCCTCCCTGGACTTGTGGCCACCTCCTACCCTCTCAAATAGGAGAGAAGAGGGCAGCTGGGTGTGGGGGTGGAGAGTATAGGGCCCCTAGTGTCTATGAGGAATGTGAATGACTGAGTCACAGGCCCAGGATGGGAGCCCCATGATGTCCATCCTCAGATCCTCTGACTACCTCGCATCATGGTCAACCTTTACAGAAGGCTTTAGAAAGACCAGCTTCATTGTCTTTAGGCAAACCCCAAAGGCCAGAGTAGACCATCCTAGCCAACTGTGGCAGAACTAGGCATTGCAGACCCTGGAGGCTTGTCTGAATGGAATATTATGGGAGCAAAGGGCACAAGGAGACAATGTCCTCTCATTCCAGCATGTCTGAACAGAAACTATTGGCTGTTTATACAGTTACAATCAGTGGTTTTAAAGCCAGATTTTGAAATGACAATACTTTTTTTTATTGTATTTTAAGATGTCCCTGGAGAAGGAAGGATACAGTCTGGATAACGTTATGCAAAGCACTTTCACAGGTAAGACAATCCTTTAAACATTTTGAATAAGCTTTGGGAGGTGTAAGAGCACCTGATTTAAAAGGCATATTCAGGTCCGAAGTGAGCTGAACAACTAAGATGCTTGTCTGTTTAGTAAGGTTTTCTGAATGTTTGTTAATCTGTGATTTTGGGTGTCTGGGTGCCTCGTGTTTGTGCACATCTGTGGTAGAGCTTAGGGAAGAGCTCTTAGCAAATTGGGGTCTTTTTAATACTAACAACCAGCATCTGTTTCTGTGTCAGAAATCCATCAAAAAAAAAAAAAAAATTAGACCCGAATTTCATAGCTGTGTGATGAGCCCAGGTAGCATTTCCACAGAAGGTGTGTTCTCAGGAAGTCGGTTGGTCTTAGTGAATCATAATAATAACCAACCCCTGGATAGCGCCTACTGTGTGCCAGGTGCTGTGCTAAGCACTTTGCACATACTACCTCATTTGATCTTCACCACCACCCAGCATGGAAGGTGTCATTATTATCCCCATTTTACAGATAAGAAAACTGAGGCAGACAAAGATTAAGCGTTCTGCCCAGGCTCACACAGCTAGCGAGTGACTGGAGCAGGATTTGAATTTCTGGTCTTGGTGAAGCTAATTAAACGTTGAAGCTAAATTAAATCCTTTGTAAGAGCTCTCCAGATAGGGCCCCACTTTCGATTACTGTTCCTGAGATTATTCTAACTTTGATTGCTAATTTTGCGGAATTTCCTGTACCGTTCAAAACAGACATTTTTGGGGTGCTTGCAGCCAAAATTTTGGAATCAGCTCTTAAGAGGAACTGTAGTAAGTTAAAATCTACTTGCTTTGTCACTTGATAAATAGATGATTTTGATTTCACCACAGACATCTGGACTGATACTTTGGTGTTACTAATGAGACGACCATGATTGTGTCTAAGGATTATTAGCATGTTTGTGAAGCAATTGGTGATGCTGTCTGAGAAAGTTTAGTGTGACTTTGGAATAAATGAAAACTGATCTGGAAAGCAAATAGTCTATTCCCAATTGGAATTGTTTTTTTAGATGTCAGAAGCAATGGCGTTGATGAATCTTTGGTTCAAAGAAACGATGATATCAGCTTGAAGGTGAGAACCAGTCCTATGTGGTCATAGCTTTCTTTGATTTTTCTAGAATTAGGCTGGGTTAGGGCTGGAGGGAAGGGGGTTGGCATGAAGTGAGGCCTGCCCGAACAGTGGAAGCTCTGCCCCGTGGGCGATCGGTGATAGGGCTCCCTGCCCTATCAGTGCCACCCCCCAGTCCAGGTTCCCCCTTTCCCTCCTGTCACCCACAGCTGTCCTGGCTTCTAACCCCCACTGTGGCAGCTGTCTCTGCCTGAGCTGGAGCCAGAATGACAGGCTTGTTACCAAGAGACTGTCACTTGCCTTGATTCTTTTGATCACCGAATGGGAAGGATTTTAATGGGTGGCAGTTTCTAGCAGTATGTTATAATTTGATACAGGATTTCCCCATTTGGACTTGTGGTTTCACTGGTGTGGGGAATCCTCAAGAGGAACTCCCTCTGCTAGTGAATGAATGAAAAGGCATTTATTGTTAAGGATTTACCATGTGCCAGGCTCTATGCCAATGGCTGGTCATGCTCATCCAAAAGTGAAGACGGGCCTCGCTCTCCTTGTTCTAATGGGGAAATAGAGCATGAAGGTACTGGGATGTGGAGGGGCCGTAGAAGACCCTTTACGGACATGATGCCGTATCGATAGGTTGTGGTTCTGGAAGTAGTGGGCACAGGGATGGCTGGAGGGGCCCCATGGAGAGATCCTGACCTGGAAGACTTCATTCCTCCAGGTTTGGTCTGTGGCTCAGGCAGCAAGGGTACTGGCTTGGAGGTAGTCAGGGAGTGAGCGGAAGCTGCCTGGGGAGGGGGGGGTCATCCATATCCCCGAGAGGAAAGGCCGGCATTCTTGTGGCTGTCCGGATGGCTCAGCCCTTTGTCCCTAGCGGACTTAGCACTTCCGTCGAAAGGATCTTCCTTTAATGAGCTGTGTAGTTGAGTAGATCAAGCATAGAAGAGGTTGAACTCTCTAAGCACCTTTTTTGGTCTTAGGATGACAGCCTTCGAAACCTTCCAGAAAGTGATTTAGACAAGAAGTACATGACCCGAGTGGACGTGATCCTGGAAGATGACCATCCCAGGATGGTCAGGGTAATCCTTTTTTTTTTTTAAAATAAGTTAATGTTGTTGATTGATTTTGTTTTACATCACCTACATTTCCCAAATAAGCCTTCTCCTGTCCACTTCCTCCATCCCCAAAACAAAAACGGCATCAACATAAGTCTGCCATCCTCTCCCCGTGTCCCTCCTCCACTGTCCCCCAGCTCTCCAAGGAAGTGGGGGAGAGGTCTTAGCATCTCGCTCATCGTAACTCGCAGATCGTGTCTTGTTGAGCGTGCTGTTTGTGTGATGGTGGTGCTGACTGCGGGCAGTTTTTCTGGTTCTGTGGACTTCCCTGTGCATCAGTTCCTAGAAGTCCTCCTGTGCTTCTCTGCAGTCCTCATCCTGTTCATTGTTTCTCAGCAACTCTTGTGCGTAATTCTGCCCTGGAAGTGGCAGTTGCCAAGGCACGGTCGGGGCATGTTCACTGTCTACACATGACTATACATAGAACTCTGTGTTGTGGGTCTGGCTCCCAAAGAGGGTTGAATTGATGTGTGAGGAATCCTGGGTCTTCAGATCCTTCAAGTGGAAAGGAAGGCTTGGTGGAGCTCTTTGGATGTGCCCCTCTGCCTCCCCCGCCCAGTTGTGTGCTGTGAGAGTTGCTACCTCCATTTTACAGAGGAAGAAATTGAGGCAATAAAGGGCCCTCCCAGGGAGGGTCTCACACAGCTGGTGTGGGGGCGGGGATTTGAGCTAGGGTCTCGCTGACTCCCAAGTCTAGGCCTCTGTTCACTCCAGCTGTCACCTCTCCTCACACAGAGCACTTGGCATCATGGGGAATGTTTAGTCAGGTAAAGAAAAGTCTTGTCGAGTGCTCAGAGGCTTTGGACTTGCCTGTTGTGCCCAGAGAAGAGCTTGGAGCAGGGAGTGGGAGGGGCAGCAGCCGTGGGGGTCCGCGATTAGGGAGGACCGCTGTGTGAGGGCACAGTGGGGACCGTCAGTAGGAGTGCGCACGTGGCGCCAGGAGCTGTCGCTTCCCAGGATCCTCAGCCCGGGGGCACTCACAGAGGAGTGTGCAGGGTCACGCTGCTGCTCAGAGTGGGACGCCATCGGAGGCCTTGGGGCAGTCACTGGGACGTGGAAGGAGAGGCGCTTTCCAGACACAGCCCGAGCCTGGGGGCTGCTTCCAACACGAATCCGGCTCGGGGCTGCCAGGTCCTTCAGGCCTTGCACGGTGGTTTGAAGTCCTGACTTTTGGTTTTCTTTCCAGTTTGACAGTTTCAGGAGGAAAAAGGCCCAAACAGCTCCCAACGTCCTTTCAGCCGAAGGCAGTCCTAACACTTTACTTGGTGAGTGATCTGGACGCTCAGTGGGGTTCACTCCGTTCCCCGCTGGACTCACTAGGCCCAGACATTTTCAGGCCAAGCCCTGTGGGGCTGGGCTTGGGGATTCCTTGGTGGCGCTCACTGGGGCTCTCTTCCCACCCCGTGTTGAGCCTCCCGTACCATCTGCAGGCCAGGGGGTGGGAACGCACTATCTCAGCCCCACATCTTTGGCTCGGGGCTTTGGGACTGATGCCGGTGGAGCCCTGGCTAAAGGTTGCACAGAGAAAGAAAGATCTTTGGTGAGTGAGCAGTGCCCCACTTTCTTTTAGAAGCACTCCTCTGAACCATTGCGGGCATGCTGTGAACCAGGGCTTGGACTTCACTAATCACTGTGGAGTGATGCTTTTAGCTCCGTAGGGCACCACGAGAGCCCCCGGATTTGCACCCAGCAGCCAATCCCCTGGGCCTGGTCCTTGGACATCAGTCCCAGCTTAGCCGAGGGCTGCCCTCAGAGCCTTGACGAGGGTGAGAACCTGCCAGGCCTTCTGCCGCAGAGGCCTAGTCTTCAAGGCCTGGGGCCACATCTCTGGGAGACCACAAAGCGGGATTGGCTGTAGTGCACGGAAATATTTCTCTATCCGTCTAATTTAGTCTTCATTTGTTCCCAGGTTGCAGTGGTAATGGCCCCTGGGAGAATTATGGGATTCCAGTTAAGCCAACTTCATCCTGGCTGGGTCCCCCAGACACCAGAATGCCTCTCAATCAAAGCCTGTTAGCCTGGAGAGCCAGGAGAGGTCCCTTAAGGGACACCACTTTTGGAGGTGAAGAAGCCACCCAGAACCTCACTCTTGGTGACATCTACACCGAAATGTTATGTTCACTGTGTAAGTGTCTCCCTTCTCAGAAGATGGGCCTCGTTTCCACCAGTAAATATATTTCCAAAGGCTGGTTCCCAAAGAAGAGGAGGCTTGACATCACTTTGACAATGGAAAGTAGTTTTCTCAAGATTAGTCAAAAGTTCCGAATTATCCCAGGTGAGAAAAGTAGCTTCATTTGCAGAAACAATTATAAGCCGAACTTTTCACCCTGTATTGAACCAGACACTATCATCAATGACAGTGAATTGTTAACCACCAATTCTTTCCCATTGGCGCTGAAGGCGGCGCTGCATAACCGCTCCACTTGGGAATCTCCTTCCAGGCCCAGGGATGTGAGACAAGCAGCCCCCAGCCCCTCACAGAGCCACACGGGATCCCAGTCCCCAGTGACACCCAGCTTGTGTCTGCCCCCTGCTCTGACAAGCGCAAAAGAGAGGTTCCGCCCTTTGCAGCAGGGTCCTCCTGGAAGGGATGTGTTGGGGCAGGAAAGGTATCTGTCCAGATCACAGGTGATGCCAAGGATGCTCCAGACCCCCAAGAATTCTCCCCTGTCCCATGAAAGGCTTCCTCAGGAACGCTCAGCTTCTGATGCCTCTGAAACGGGCCCAAAGACTGGTGTTCCTAGAAAGGTTACGAAGGCAAGAAAGTCCTTGCCTTTTTGCATGGAGCAGACCCCCTGCAAAGCCCGGGATGTGATAGACTCCATGTTTGACACATACTCCCAAGAAACAACTCAGTGGGCACAGGAGCTTTTATTCCTGAAGAAATCAGGGCAGAAGTCAAAAGTGCTGACTCAGAGCAAATTCGGGGATTCCGTGGAAAGTTTGGGCCTCTGGGATGGTCCCCAGGAGCCGCAGAAGGCAGCCTCCCCCCGGGGCATTGCCAGGGACTCCCTGTGTGGGACAGTCACCATGCTTCATTGCACAGCCTCACCCAGGGCCATCGCAAAAGGAGACTATTCCTCCCCGACAAAAAGACGGAAAGTATCAAGCTCCCAGACGTGGGATCTCTTCAGCCCTTCAAAGATGAGAGATAAGGCGTAGGAATATTTTAACAGTAATCCTTGTTATTGCCATAAACAGTACTTAAGGAGAGAAGTGGCCCCAAAGTATCTGGATCACTGTGGGGACATAATACATTAAAATAAAAAACAAATTCATGACTTTAAAAGCACATATGCATTATCTGAGATTGTAGAAGCATCCTGGTATCGTGGACCCAGGACCCAGGTTCACACCCTGGCTTTGCCACTTACTCCCTGGGCCTCAGTTTCCCCAATTGTCAGCCCTCGTGCCTTATGACACAGACAGAATTCTGAGCCCTTGGGTGTGTTTGAGAGCTCCAGCAAGTCAAAGTTGGGCCATATGCGAGAATCTGAACTTCCTCCGACTGGTGTTGACCCCTGATCCTGGATCTCCCTCTTCCCTGTAGTCTGGCCACTCTACACTCTAAACCTCCTGTCCATTCTCCTCCTGGATCCTCTCGAGGTTTCTGCTGCCCTCCACTCGGCGCTCCTCCTATATCTTCTATTCATTCTCAGTCCCCTTGGCCTGATCAGCCTCTGTGTTGAATCCCCAGCTCTGGGGACCTGAGGCTGTGTGCTGGGCTGCCTTCTTTTCTCTCCGTGATCTCTGTAAACTCCAGGGATTCAGTCATTGTCTCTGTGCAGGTGCCTTCCAGATCAGTATCTCTGGTCCCAGTCACTTGGATATACCCCACTGGATGTCCCTTAGGCCTCTTGAGCTCAGCTTGTCTAAAGCAGAATTCGTTATCGTCCCCATCCTCCCCATACTTGGTTTTCCTCTGTCGAAGATAAAAGAATATGAATACTATATTCTCCTTTTAACGTACAATTCTGTCCGAAATAATTTTATTCAATTAAGCATTCTAAATGCAGGCATTTCTGGCAGTCATGCGTGTGACTATCCCTTTACCCCAAAACAGTTTGAAGACAGGAATCTTGAAGAAGAAAAACTGTAAATATGTGTAAGTGCAATCTGGGGTTAGTTTTTCAGCCCAGTCACATAAGGGGCTGGGGCAGGCAACCATCTGGACAAGGCTCGTGATGTCTTTGTTTCCGGTTCGTTTCCACCGTTGATCTATTTTTCTAAAAGACCTTTTGTTTTTGCTCAGAGGGAGGGCATGGAGAGTAGGCGAGTCTGAAAGGGGCTTTTAGAACTGAGGAGTTCTTTCTCATGTGCTGCCCCGTTTCTGCGGAGGGCACGTGTGTTTTCTGTTCTGTCAGGTTCACCAGCTGGCAGTCTTCTCGGACTCTAAAGTTCTCTTCCACGCCTCATGTTCCAGTCACTTAGTGCATCTTGGTTCTACCTCCGTAACATGTCTCCTCCCCCCTCCAAGGCTTCTGCCCAAGCTCAGATCTTCGTCTCTTCTCCCCCACACTACCTGAAGAGTTTCCCGATGGGTCTCCAGCCTGGAGTTCCCTCTCTCCTTACCCCCTCTTCCTCTGAGCTTTAGTTCAAGCTTCTTGTCTCTGGTGTCTTTCTCAGGCCCCTCTGTTTTCTCTATTTGTTATCATCTCTGTGATTTCCCTCCGATACAATGACGTGCCTTGAGTGCCAGCCCTCTGGCATTCTTTCCTTGGGATCCTCGGCATTTCCCCCAGTGCCCTTTCCACGGCTGGCGTTTCATGATGTGTTGTGGACAGGCTCAATTGCATGTAATGAGCTTATAGCCTTTTCCTGCCTTCGTAGACTGTAGCAGTGGGCCAAAGAGCTCATCACCTGGCCGCTTTCCTGCTGGTCAGGGTTAGGGATAGCTGGCAAACATGTTGGGCCGTGATCATACCTTGTCCGTCTTGGTGTAAGAGCCTTTCAAATAAAGATTCGTTTTTATGATTTTTATCATCACTGCATTTTGTCTATCGCTTTCATAGGGGAAGAATCGCTGTCTCCCTCCTCCCAAAGCCCCCTGCTGTGGCTTAATGAATGATTGACTGTGGGGGGAAGGGGAGACAATTAAACGGGGTGCCATTTTCACCAACGCCATTGGCCATCATCGTTGGCTACACTCTGGGCTTTTGCCAGCTTTATGTGGGGAGGGACTGGTCCATTTGGAACTGTGTGGTAAGTCACATGAGTTGTTTATTCTCAAGTCGTGAAGTGAACTGATGGGATAACCGGCTTTCAGCTCTTAAGACCTTGCTAACCTTTCTGTTCGTCTTTCCATATTTATGGAAGCAAGAAAAGAACAGATATAAACATGATACCTGTAGACCTAATTTTTAAAAAATGGTAAGAGAGTTTACATCTCAACAGAGGCCTAGATACCCCTGTTTGACACAGGGAAATGTTATACATGTAGAGAAAATATTTCTGGGCATAGGGCAGCCATTTTTCTTGGTTTCTTGGTTGTTTTCCAAGTGCTTTGAGGGTCTGATGGGAGCTGAACGAGAACTCCAGGGGCAGACTTTGGTGGGGCCCAGATTCCCTCTTGTTTTCTTCTGTCCCGTTGGCAAAAGGTGTGCAACAAAACTGGTTTGGGCCAGTCAAGTGATTGGCTGTGTCTAAGATGGGGGGGCGGGGAGCAGAGGAAAAGCTCCCTTTCCCCAATCCCCGTTCTGTCCCCCAAGCTCTGATTCACACACACACACACACACACACACACCCACGTACACTCTCAGAGAAGCTGGAGATGATCCCTGCCCTCACAATGACAATGGCATTGTGGGTAAAGTGAAAGCCCCTAAAGGCCAGGGACTATTCCATCTTTGTCTTTGTTTCCCCAGCACCTTTCACCTGGCAAGAGCTTAATAAATCCTTATTGACTGAAGGACTCTTTGGGAGTCAAGAAAAAATTAAGCCCCGAGTCAAAGCTTACCTAGGAAAGGTGCCGCCTTTATGAGCTGCGACAATGGTCTTGTGTTCCTAATGAATGACTAAAAGTGCTTACTCTGTGTAAAGCATCCACTGAGAAGTGAGAGCCTCCTGTTTTCAAGGAGCTGCCCTTCTGACCAGAGGGATGACCGTCGGGAAGGTCCCTCTGAATGCTCTTTAGGAGGCACCAGCATAGCAGATGTTAATGCCTCTTCTCTCCTGTCATTTCCACCGAGAAAATCATCTATCTCTAATGTCGAGCCATTCAACAGAGCAAGGACTTTGGTGGCAAGAACTGGCTGTGCTGGGTCTACAGTGGCCTCCCCAGGTGGCATCTTCCCAGGGGCTGCTCCCCAGGATGATGGCCGAGGCCACCGGGCTGGAAGCTGGGCCGGTAGGTAGCCGTGTGACTTTGGACAAGTCACGTCCTCTGTAATCTGGGACTGACCTCTCAGCGCTCAGTTCTTGGGACAGTGTCCACGTGGCCATGCTCTTGCCTCTGTCCCATGTGTCCAGTCTTAATGGAGTGTGGGAAACTGAATGGACCAGGGCTGTGATGGCCTGGGGATCTCAGAACCATGGGAACAGGCCCTGGAGTCTGTGCGAAGTCGGCCGGAATCGGCCAACTGGGTTCTGGAGTGACGTCCAGCGGCCACGCCCCGTTCAGAAGCGACCTTGGGGTTGCCAGGACAGGGCAGGGTGGGAGGGAATCCTTTGTAGTGACCTCTCCCCTAGCATACCAGTGGCGGATGAGGGAGAGGATGCCACCGGTTCATGGGGTTTGTACTTGAGTTTTGTCCATATCCCTTCGTAAAAGTGAATTGATTTTAATCGGTTAAGTCATACTGGAGCACTAACCTTTGGTTCGGTTAATTCTATCAAAGAGATGTTGGCTATTGGGGAAGACACACCAAACATCACCACTTTTATCCCCAGGTCTGAGAAGAAGAGGTGTGGTCCACCCTCTGAGGCGTAAGTGGAGTTGGGACAAGGACCCATCTAGAATGTGTGTAGATAATGTGTAGTATGATCATTGTCATATATACACACGTGCATGCACATTAAAAATGTGTGTATATTATATATACACGTGTGTGTGTGTGTATGTGTATACACACAGATCATGCAGTTTCCTCATCTGTAAAATGAGAAGCATATTCCTGGCTCAATTTTGTACAGCCTCAGGGACAACCTTTCTGCAACCTTGGTGACAACTTTGGGCAAATCGCTTAACCCTTGCAAGCCTGGGACAGATGGTTTCCAGGGTCCCTTCCAGCTCCCAAATCCTATGATCCCAACAGAACTGTCCAGCTCTTCAATGATTCTATTCCCAACTCAATTCTAGCTGAAGAGCTTCAGTCCACATAGTGCGTCTGCACCCAGCACCTTTTCACAAGCCGTGTACAGCTCGGATCCATCAGGGGCTCCAACGCATCTTCCACATGGCTGCCAAAGAGCCTTTCTAAAGCACGAGTCTCTGTCCATCAATGGTGGCCTCCTATGGGCTGTAGGATCCAATAGAAACTCTGACTTTAAAGTCCTTCATGACCTTGTTTCATCCCATTTTCCCAGCCTTGTTGCACATTCCTCTTCATGCCCTCTATGGTCCATTCACACCAGGAAAATGAATCGCTTCCATTTGAATTGCCTTAGGAAGATTCTGAAGATCACCTGGCAGGATAAGGTACCAGACACTGAAGCCCTTTCTCAAACTAAACTGTCAAGCATTCAGACTCCGCTGCAGAGAGCCCAGCTCCGATGGGCTGGCCATGTGGTTCAAATGCCAAATGTACATTTGCCTAAAGGACGATTTTATGGAGAACGCACCCAAGGCAGGTGCTCACATGGTGATCAGAAGAAGCAGTACAAGGGCATTCTCAAGGTCTCTCTGAAGAACTTTAGTATCTATTGTGAGACATGGGAGACACGAGCGCAGGGGCGCCCAGTGTGGCATACCCGCATCAAAGAGGGCGCTGTGCTCTGTGAGCAAAGCCGAATTGCAGTCGCTCAAAGGAAATGTGAGGTGCACAGATTTAGAGAATCCACCCCAAATGTTCATGGGGATTATTTGTGCCTGGCCTGTGGTCGAGCCTTCTGAGCTTACGCTGGTCTGATCCGCCCCAGTCAGACACACTGTACCTTGACTCCAACATAGTGATGTGATGTCATGTCAGTCAAGCATGAAGGACCGCAATCACAGTCCAGTAGAGATGACCTCTCTATTGCTCATGCAGGTCACTCCATTTCCCATCTCCAAACCTTTGCATTGGCTGTCCCCCATTCCTGGAATGCCCTCCCTCCTCACTTGGACTTCTTAGACCTCCTAATTTCCTTCTAGACTCAGTTTAAGTGCACCCTTCTATGTGAAGTCTTTCCTGATTCGCTTCTCCCCCCACCCCCAGCCACTTGTGCCTTCCCTTCCCTCCCCAATGACTTTGTATTCATTTGTATATGCTTCTACACAATTAATATGTATCACCTATATGTATTTTCCCTCAATAGAATGTAAGTTCATTGCAGTTGAGGGCTCTTTCCTAATACAGTAACTGGCACATAGTAGGTGCCTAAATGTTTGCTGATCATTTTTTTTTCCAGTAGAATATAAACTCTTTGAAGGCAAAAGCTAGTTCCTTTTTATATCCCCAGCATCCAGCCCACTAACTGCCACCTCCTAAGGGCTTCATGTAAGTTCTTTGTGGTTTGGTTTCATTTTTGTCTTTGGATCGAATGAATTAACTCATAGAGCACCTTACAAACCCTGAACTGCTCTATAAATGCTGGCTGTCACTTTATTTGCAGCCCCAACACCTAGCACTGTCTGGCACACAGTAGGTAGTTCCTAAGAACTTGTTGATTCCTTCCACCCCTCACCGGTAAGCTCTTTGTTGCCCACAGGCCAAAGGTGTATTCATGGGGTGCAAGGCCAAGGTACAAGTTCCATCTTAAAGGCTAATTTTTTCACCATTTGTTCAATCAGGACTAGTTCCAGTATTGTGTGATTCCACATGAGCTTGCATACCTATCCATATCCCCCACATTCCTGTCTATCCTATTGTTTTTTACCTGTTTTGAATAATTGTGTCAGGAGGGAACATGGAAACTACAAGAAATGAGACTTGGCTGTATAAGTAGTATTTTTTAATACTTAATAATATTTTTCCAATTACATGTAAAGATAATTTGCAAGTTAATTTTTATAAGATTTTGAGTTCCAAATTTTTCTTCCTCCTTCCCTTCCCTCCCCTCTCCCCAAGACAGCGAATAATCTGATATAGGTTATGCATGTAGAATCATATTAAATAGATTTCCACATTAGTCATGTTGTGAAAAAAGAATCAGAACAGAAAAGAAAAACCATGAGAAAAAAAAAACAACAACAAAAAAAATAGTATGCTTCAATCTGTTTTTAGACTCCACAGATCTTTCTCTGGATGTGGATGGCATTTTCCATCATGAGTCTTTTGGAATTCTTAGATCGTTGTATTGCTGAGAAGAGCTGAGCTGGCCATTGCACAATGTTGCTGTTACTGTGTACAATGTTCTCCAGGTTCTGCTCACTTCACTCAGTATCAGTTCACATAAGTAGTACTTTGATTTTAACATAGAAATTGATTTTCAGACTTTCCCCATGGGAGATCACTATCTGTTGGAGGGGAGAGTAAGGGAGGGGTGCCATTTTGTATGTCGTCCGGGCTATGCTTGGTATCCTTGGTTAAATATGTGGAGCTTTCCAAGCTCATTTGGGAGACTATGAAAGACTCATTTGAGTATTCTTCAAGTATAGTAAGTTCTTGCAATACTGTCCATACTGTAGAGAGGGCCAAGCCTTCCTTCTATCCCCCTCCCAAATTCCTCTTAGCCATTAAGCTAATTGGAAGAGCCTGCCCTGGCTCAATATTGCAGTAAAGATTTGTTGTTGAGTCTTTTCAGTTATATCTGACTCCCATTTAGGATTTTCTTGGCAAAGATACTGGAGTGGTTTGCCATTTCCTTCTCCAGCTCATTTTACAGATGTGGAAAAT